GAATTAGAAAAGTATGAAGAAGAGAGAAAAATAGCTGTATTCGTTAAATATGCGGAAAGAGAAAGGAGATTAAAGGAATGTAAAGAAAAAGGAAAAAGACAAGCTGAATTTTTATTAAGAGAAAAAGAAGATTTTATATTTAATGAAATCATGGGATTAAATAATCAAACTGTTGATTCTTATTTAGAGGACATTTTAAGTAAGGCCATAAATGAAGCATCAAAAGAAGAAGCATTAATAAGGACAAAAAAAAAAGCTGAACAGTTGAATGAAATTTACAACTTATTAGATAATAGCAATGATGAAAATAATAAAATCATAGTTAAAGATTTGGTTGGTAACTTTATTATTCCGTATGTAGATAAGCAAAGAGGATTAGAATTCGATTTATTAGAGCAAAAAAAAAATAACTACGTTTCAAATTTTGCGACACAACACATTTTTTCTAAAATTAATGAAGCTTTTTGAATTCATCCCCTTCCTCCCTCCCAAAAAAAAAAAAAAGTGCGTAACCAAAAACGATATCAAAGTACTAAGGAAAAGAAATAGAAATAATTAAAATGCATGAAAAAAAAAAATTGGAAAATTTTAACAAATTATTTAAAGAACAATAATAAAGGAGTTTCACATTTTTATTATTAATCTGTGAATATTATTTCGCTCATATTTTTGTTCTTTGCATGTAGTGCAACGAATAACAAAAAAAAAATATATCCTTAATATAAGAAAAACAGCAATAATAACAGTAACAATTATGATAAGATAAACCTCAACTTGCCCTTTTGAACCACGGATGCACGCATAGTTAAAAAGGAAGAAAAATGAACTTAAAAAAAATGAACGAACGGAAAATTCTATGTACGCAAGAATCTTACTCCCGTGAATATAAATTAATTTCCATTACCCCGTAAACCAATTAAACCGAGAATTTAACTTTTCATGTGTAAAACTTGCCTATATATGTGACCAAACGCGCATATGTATATGAATATGCATGTGGAGCTACAAATTCAATGTCATACTTAATGCGTGTGCGTCCCTTGGAAATTTATCCGTGCGCAACAATGAACGCGCACTATTTTATTTAAAAGCAATTAAAAAGGCATATTCATTTGTGTGAGTTTTTAACGAAGCCTTAATTTTTTTTTAGATGTTCTATTTTTTTTTTCTTCTTATCAATTTATGTGACGTTAAAATGTGTTGCCAAGGCAAGGTTAATTTCATTTTATATAAAATATACATTTGTCTACACAACGCTCATAAGAGAATACAAGGTTATTTCAAATTCAATAAATAGGGATAACCGTTTTTTTTTTTTTTTTTTTTTTTTTTTCGTAACATCCGTTTTGATAAAAATTTGTTATACTTATTTTTCACCATCTTGAAGGATTGTGTACACTTAAAAATAAGTCTAATTATGAACAAACCAAAAAAAGGTACTTCCAGAATGGTAAAATATTTGGGAAACAGAAAAATTAATTTAAACTAGGGTAATTTGAATTAGGGTAAATTAAATTGAACAGTTTCTTCTAGATAAATGAATGATTTGGCCAAATTATAAATATGACACAAATCAAGCTTGCAATTACAAATTGATGGCTAAAGCATAACATAGTGTAATCCCTTTTTGTAAGGAAACGTTTTCATTACTTTTTACACATCAGGAAAATTAATTGCACACACATTTCCTTTTAAAAAATGAGCAATGTGAGCATTTGAATAGTGCAGGCAAAAATAACCTTGAAGCTATTAACTGGGCCTTACATATACTTGTAAAACGGGTGTTCATGCATATGCACTCGTAACCCTGATCAATGCGTGTATAACGAAATATGCACACAAAAAAAAAATAATAATAATATTTACATATTGTACACAAGTTCACTCTCATGTATAGGTAAAAATAGCACCAATGTATGGATACAGGGAAAAAAAGAAAAAAAGAAAAAGGATATTAACATCAAAAGTAACCCCAAAATGTGAATACACATATTTCTTTATTTTTGCATAGCTTATTAGTAAAGATTAGTTGTTGTATTAAATAAAGATACATGCACACATTCTCCCCACGCCACCCAAATGGTTAATTTTAACTTGTGCGTCTTGAAAAAAGTTTTGTTTCAACACTTAAAATTGTGACATGTTTCAGGAAATTATTATTTTTATAATTTTTATGTGTACATAAATACATATAAGAAATGGCGAATTTTTTTGCGTTATTTCATTTGTAAAAACATTGTGACAGTATAACATATCAGTATTTTACATTTTTTAACGACTTTTCCAATTTAGTCCATTGAACATAAAATAATAAAGTATATTGCTAAATTTTTAAAAGGAATAAATAAAAAAAATGCATAATTTTGTAAAAATAAGAAAATAAGGGTATTTGAAAATACCCATAAAAAAAAAAAATAAATAAAATGCATGAGTATATAATGTTCAAAAGAATAATTGGTGCAAAAGAATTTAAATCAAGAATAGCTTCTTTTTTTTCTTTATCTTTTTTTATGATCAAATGGAAAAAAAATAAAATAGAATAGTACAAATATATTGCATAACAATATTAGTACAATTGTAACACACAATGGATGTGTAGCATAATGCACGGTTGCGAAAATGATCACAATTTTTTCATGATGCACAAAACAAATTGCCAAACAGCAAATGGAAAAATATACTATTTTATATATATATATATATATTTTTTTTTTTTGCTGAAACATATTTCCCTATTTGTAATTGTGTGTCATTTTACACGTTTTTGTATATATACATACATGCATACAAACACACGTTGCAAGTGTGAAAAAGAAATATATGCATATATATGCAAACTTACGGTAACATATTTTTACACAATTGCTAAAAGGTTGAGGGATTTTTTTTTCAATTTCCAATGTATGAAGACAGTGTGCGAATTTCATAAAAAAAAAAAAAAAAAATATGAACATGTCATGTAACACGAAACATGCACATATAATTCTATCATAATTTTGTTACGGTACACCCAACTCATTTGCTAAGTAGATATATTTTTTAACATTATCACATGTATAATTATATATATGTTTTAAATATATATATATGTATATATATATGTGTATATATACATTTGTTTTGTTCATACTTACAATTTATACACTTGAATATTTTTTTTACTCATACACTTATATTATTTTTTTTTTTTTTCTTTTACCAACACATAGTATGCATTAAATCTTTAGTTTTTAAACACAATTTTTTTTTTTTTTCGTAATAAAATATTACTTCTTATTTTAAGAAAAATTATACTGCATACACTTGTCAATCTTTTCACATATTTTATTTTTATTTTTTCCCATTAAAAAAGAACGAATATATATTCATATATATTCATGTGTTTAACAAAAAATGGGTGGATATTTACTTTATAATAAATTTTTCGTTAAAATAAAATAATCATTTATTAAGCAAAGTTTTTCTTGTGTTTTCTTTTTTTTTTTTTTTTTTTTTTTTTTTCTTTTATATATTAATCTATTTTTATTGAAAAAAAGAGAAAATAATTTAAATGTTAATTCTCCCATTTTTATTTCGAGTAAAAAAGTTGAAAAATAATAATTAAAACTATACAATTAGTATAAAATTGTGTGGAAATAACAGAAAATTTCTTCTTTTTTTTTTTTTTTTTTTTTATTAAGTTTATTAGAATAAAAAAAAAAAAAAAAGAAACAAAAGAAGATTTCTTTTTTCCACACAAAATAATAAAAAATGTCAGGAAAAGGACCAGCTCAAAAATCTCAAGCTGCAAAGAAAACTGCAGGAAAAACCTTGGGACCAAGGCATAAGAGAAAAAGAAGAACAGAATCATTTTCACTTTACATTTTTAAAGTTTTAAAGCAAGTACATCCAGAAACAGGTGTGACGAAAAAAAGTATGAATATTATGAATTCTTTTATCAATGATATATTTGACAGATTAGTTACCGAAGCAACTAGACTAATTCGTTATAATAAGAAGAGAACCTTGTCATCGCGTGAAATTCAAACTGCAGTTAGATTACTTTTACCTGGAGAATTGTCAAAACACGCTGTCTCTGAAGGAACAAAAGCTGTAACAAAATACACAACCAGTGGTGCATAGACATAATGCACTAATTGTTTTTTAAACAAAATGAGAAATATAAACATATACGTCATTACCACAACTCTGCGTATTATAGACATTGGCATATATATATAGTTACATACGCACACCTTAATTTCGTTAATCCCGTATGAAAAAAATTTTTCATTATAAGATTGGACATAATCAATGGGATATACATTACCCCTGTCACCATGTATATAAAAAAAAAAAAAAAAAAAAAAAAATGAAAAAAAATAAAAAGGTCCAAAAAAAAAAAAAAAAGAAAAAAAAAAAATGGTATATTTTGAATATACATCATGAAATTTTATTTACTTTTTAACAATTGTGAAACAGACTAGTGAAAAATGTTTGTAAAAACAAAACGCGCCTTAACTATTTTGAATTTAACTGCATTTTTAACTCCTGATGCACATACATATGCATGTATGTGTGTATTTATATACAGTTTTACATAAGCTTATTTATGTTTTAGTACACGTAGCAGTAAGCAGTAGAGAAAATAAATGCATTCAAAAAGTGTAAAAGAAATTTATTAGTTAAACAGACGCATGTATGTAATATATATAGTTGCATACAACTCCTTAAAATTATTTCCTTTATTTTTTATTTTTTTTTTTTTTTTAATTTTTCAATATTTACACTAAAGATAAATTTAAAAAAAAAAAAATGCCTATAAGAATTTAAAGATCATTACAAAATCGCAGTTTTTTTTTTTTCTTTTTTTTTTTTAAATTAAAAGAAAAACTGATATAAAAACAAATAATGGAATAAAAAACTGCCAACTTCGTATTTATTTTAAGTCTACCTTTTAAGAAATATTAACGTTTTCGGGTATACCATTACACGTTTAGATGGATCATGTGCTATGCAGAATAAGCCCTAGTGTTGTAAATGATGTTATTTAAGAATTCTTGTGGTGTAGATAAAGCAATATATATATATATATATTCTTTTTTGCGCCATTTTTAACGTGAAAAATGTTTCCTTTTTATAGATTAAATATACATTATAGATAATTAAGGGAGAATTTTAACATCTTCTAACTTTTTTTATGATATACTTAATATTATTTCTTAGGGTTACTTTTAAAGGAAAGAACCAATTTAAAAAACAACTGAAAACATGTATGGTCGTGTTGATGGAGAAGGGGGGGGGGGGTAGTTAAAAATTAAAAAAATTAAATCCCTATTTAGATATAGCTTTTTTACGATTAAATGCAATAGGGAGATACGAATTATGACATGTAATATTTAATGCGAAGCGAGAAATATGTGTGGTAATTTATTATTATTACAAATTTTGCGTCCTCGACATGTTTTATAACATATATATATAACTGTTCGTACTTGCATGAATACTCGCAAAGGTGAGACAGGTTATATATGGGTATGTTATAATAAATGCTGTTTTATTTTTCTTTTGAATAAAATAATATTTGGAGCGACGCGCACATGCTGATATAAGATCATATTTAAAGTGTTCTTTTTTTATGAATAAATATGATATTACTTAGAACTATGTCATCCAGTAGAAGCAAAAACAGCATACATATATATATGTGTGCATGTGCATAAAACGTTAGTACACAATTGCAAGAAAGGCATAATTTCCTGCCTAATATTCGAGATGTATATTGTGGTAAATGCGTCTACGAGAAGAAATAAAAAATGTAATTATGCAAGATATAAAAATGATATATATGCAAGTTTTCTTCATAAGGCAACGAGAAGATAGTTCCTAAATAGCCAAATGGAAGATATGTTGACTGTGCACAAGTACATGCGAGAGTGAATAAAGGACTTAAAAAAAAAAAAAAAAAAAGGGGTTGTAAGGGAAATCCACTTTGGTTCACCTTATACGAATGCTTCTGTGGCACACATACAGCTTCTTATTCTTAAGTGAAAAAACATGTTTATTACAAAGAAAAATAACTGACTTTGTCAATAAAGTGTACACATAAAAATAAAAAATAAGCATAGTAAAGTTTGCTATTTAAATATGGATTACATCTAAGTAGCATACCTTTTAGTTTCACTTAATGAACATATATGCTTTCTAAAAAAAAAAATGTTTTCAAAATGAATGGATACATTGTCAAGCACAATTAGACACTGTAATTGTTATTCTTACTTATGTTTAAGTGTATTTTGTATTCATATGACAATTATGTTGATAAATACATTTTTACCCCTTTGAAGGTGTGTAGAAAGCAGTGTTATTATAAAAATATTTCTCACTATATTTATGATCTCACATAATGCATAAAACTCTTATGTATGGAATATTTGTATCTACTAATAATGCAACTATGTGACATGCACTTTGGTTTATAATATATCTGCATTTATAAATTTATAATTATGTTTTTTTTTTTTTTTTTTTTTTTTTTTGTAGTATAATATTTTATCTTCCTATGAATGAATTAACATGAACATAAAGTATATAATACGGATAATAACTTGTTATTGCTTTTAATAAATAAACCTTTTCTTCGATTTCTCTTGTTAAATGGTTTAAGTTTATGTACATGCTTTGTGTTTCACGTGGTTTTCTTTTTATGCATTTACGTTATTATTATATATAGAATAATAGAGAGTGCTATCATGACGAAGAAAGTTATACATATCAACAAGTGATAGATTTTTGCACACGACCGGATATAGAAATGCCATGTGCATTTCATTTTTACCTACACATATGAGAAAACATAATTATGCACGTACCTATATACGTTTGTGCGTTACACATAATTGTGTTGTATCAGAATACGTACTATTTTGTTATTTTATTTTATTTTTCTGCAATTTTTTGAGATATAAAGAAGTTGGAAGAGATTCATTTTAGAACACTAATACTTCGTATTCCCAGCAGAAGGATGTATACTAGCTTGAATTTTTTTCAAAACATGTGCAATGTTTAAAAATTTCAACATTTTAGAACTCTTTTTATTTGATATGCAACGCTAGAAATCCATTTATACATATAAGGTTGTTGCATTGTGGGCTGCTAGGTTATGGGAGAGAAAAGATAATTCTTGGTGGAAAACACATGAAGCTTTGTTTTGTAAAAATACATATATATTAAGAGGTATATATATGAATGTATTCATAAATACATATACACAATTCATACATATACGCATATAAGTACAAACGATATTTCCTTTTCATACATAGTGCATATTCACGAAATAATAATATTCGAAAATATGATAAAGAAAAATTGCACATGTTCTCAAGCTATTCTTATATATAATTAACTCTGCAATTTTCAGGTTTTTGGTTAATAATTAGAATGAATAGAATTCTATTTATATTTTTAGCTTATATTGCCCCCTTTTTGGAAAAATGTTATCCTTTATATAATACCAGCTTATATATGTGTATGTATGTGTAAATTCACGTTTTATGCATACTTAAATGTATATCTAAAATTTTCTCATATAAACCGCGCTTTTTTACTGTACTTTCAAATTTTTCCCCTGTGTTCTAAGCTACAATCTTTTTCCTACATTTTTAAATACCAAAAGAGTCGGGACAAGGAAAAAAAAAAAAAAAATAATAAATAAAATAAAAATAAATATATAAAAAAAAATAAAATAAATAAATAACGCTTCACGTAACAGTTGTAGCGCGATGAGCTGTAAATATACTGGAATCGCTCGGGTCATATGCATAATATAATATATGTATATAATGGGAAGAAAAATATAAGATGCGCCCACCAGTAATTCAAAACGTACATTCAGTTTTTTTGTATTAAAATGCTTGAACCAATTATGTATTTGCAACACCTATGTGTTAAGCCTCCATTAAATATTTTTTTTTTTTGCAAATGTAAATAGTTTTTTAACTTTTTTTTTTTTTTTTTTTTTTTATCTTATTTTTATGCCTTTCACATTCTCTCCACATCAATGTATATATGTACATAATTATAAATGCGCGTACACTTGCGTTGTTTTAAGTTTGATGCATTTGTTTTTTAAATTATCCCTGAGTGTTGATATATATAGTTCCATTTTTTTTCTCATTTGCTGAATTCTCGACTATAGAAAATTTAGTAGTAAATTTACTTTTCCATATATATACCAACATATGCATTTATATGTACATGTGTATGAATTCATAATTTATTAATTCCATGTAAAAGTTACCACATAGAAAAACAGGTACCTTTTTAGAGTGAAATTGTTAACGCGAAAAAACACCAAGAGGAACATTATAATCACATAAAGAGATATTACTAACTACAAGCGAGTTAAAAAAAAAAAAAAAAAAAAAATTTTGAAAATACACTTTTTTATTTATTTTTCACAATTTTTAATTTTTTCAATTAAAACAGTGTATAAATGTAGGTGTTAAGGAATATTAAATTTTTACATGTTTTTAATTAATATCACTTTTATTTTTTTGAATAGCCTCTTCGTCATAAATATGTCACAATTGTACGTATGGCACAAGTACTGCAAATATGTATGAGTTTCTATACATAATTATGTACATGTATGTATGTATATATATATATATATGCACAGAGATATATTATGGTATTATTAATCACAACTTCTTTTTAATTCACATTTAAATACTTTTTGCTTCTTTTACAAATATTTTAAATATACATTTGCAGCTTTGGATGTAGATCGATAAATAAAACTACTAATTATATGTGTTTTCATTTTCGTTGTTTTGTGAGTAATTGTATAAGTATATTCATCTCTACATTTGTAAAAATATGCTTTCATCCATATCATACAGGATATTTTTGCCTAATAACATTCACGTATTCATTCAAATTTACGTCGATACAGAGTTGCTTTAATAGATCTTTAATTTTGATACATGTTTTACAGGCATACATGTTTCACAGCCACACATGCTTCACAGGCATATATGCTTCACATGCATACATGTTTCAGAGTCATATATGCATCCATCACACATATACACCGAACATATACACCGAACATATACAGCGAACATATACATCACACATATTCATGACGTGCATATATGCATATATATTTAAGTACATTGTTATTAATATATTCATTTTAGCCAAAGTACCCATTTTGAAGTATACGCCTAGGTATACATATAAAATTTTGATCCTCAGTACATGGATTTCTAATCATTTATTTCATGTGTACTACACATTATTATTTCATGGCACTAAATTTTTGTTTACACAAGCCGTATATGTATGTATAAATATATATATATATATATATATATATATATATATATATATAAAACCTTTTGTAACTTTATAAACACATTATATATACCGCCCAATGTACCACAAGCACACATCCCTTGTATTTCACATTTATTAGCATTGTTTTATAAATGACCTACATTTAGTCTTACAAAAATAGTATAACAGTTCTATGCAACTGTTTTTACAATTTTTTATGCTTATTCATCTTATAAATTAAAAAAAAAAAAAAAAAAAAAAAAAAACAGAAAATAATTATTTTTCTATTTTTGAATTAAGATATAATGTGCAATACTTCATTTTGTATATATATAAGTGACAAAACAGATGAAACACATTTTTCTTTCCTTTTTTAAAGATTTTTTTTTTCTTCAATTGAATTTGAAAACTTTTTCCTTATATTAATAAATTTCATTCAAACTTCCATTTTATATAATTTGAATTATTGCATAGATGTGATAATGCATTAAATGTTTGTGTTTTATGATAAATTTTACATTTGAAATGTGGTAGTTTGAAATTGCATAATTTTTCCAAAAAAGTATGGGGAGGGAAAATATTGAACTCCACACTGGAAAAGGAAAAAAAAAAAAAAAAAAATATATCGTTTTAAAGTATAAAAAAAATAAATAAAATAAAAAAATAGAAAAATAAAAATAATTTTAACAAGCCAATCAAAGGAAAAGAAGGAAGTATAGCAAAGAAAAGTACAAAATATTTAATAATAGGTACAACAAATTAGAAGTTGTCACCACCACCACCACCCCCTAGCCCTAAATATTTTTTTTACATCTTTGTTATCATCAACACATAGAAGTAAGAAAAGTGGTAGAAAATAAAATTAGAACCAATAAAATAAGTAAAACTATGGATGTAGAGCAAAAACAGCCTAACAATATATATTCCGTATATGAGAAAAATTTCGAAGCATCAATTATAAGCGCCCAAAGAAGTAGCATTGCCAAGAAAAGAAACACTAACCTTAATAACAGTAGAAACAGTAGTAGTAATAGCACTAGTAATAACAGTAGTAGTAACAATAATAGTAACAATAATAGTAGCACTAGTAATAGCACTAGTAAGAGCACTAGTAAGAGCACTAGTAAGAACAATAGTAATAACAATAGTAATAACAATAATAGTAACAATAGTAGTGATAAGAGAAGCATCAATGGAGGTAGCAATAGTAACACCAATAACAGAAAAAATGTCAAGAGCAAAGGTAGAAAAAACGACAGTCCAGAGGAAATCCTAGGTAATTATATGTCACATGAGACAAACGCAGATTCAGGGGATATATATAGTAATAACGAAATTTCCGAAAAAAGTTCTAATGGAAATATATCAATTTTTCATAATTCATTTGATCCTATGCAATTCCAAAAAGAATATAACTCAAATGGTATGGTATCAATGCAATGGAATTATAAAGGCGATGTAGATTTATCGCATAGTAATATACTCAATCCAGAACTAAGTAATAATACCATACCCACATGTGACTACATGGATCAGAAAAATAAAAGGGACTCGGCAAATTATGCTGTGTCAAAAGAAATAGAAGAGAAGAACAAATATCTCTATACAAGTAATCAGAATCGTGCGTTATATGATATGTATGATAATATGGGGAAAATAAATTTTGATGTTCTCCAAGAGCACATGGAAAAAATAGCAACCATGTCAGCATATCAAGAGAATTATAATGCTCAAGCACAAACGAATAGTACTAACAGCACGAATAGCAAAGGTAGAAATATTGTGGTAGTTGAGAGGGTTCAACCTGTTGAAAATGTTTTAATAGGGAGAAGTACACAAAAGACACAGGATAGTGAATTGGATGCTTACAAAACTGCAAATATGAATAGCTTAAATAATGCAAAAAGTGTAAGTAGCACAAATGTGAGACAAATTGAATATGCTGATAATAAGAATTTGCTAATGAATTTAAGTGATATGCAGAATGGAATGAATAATTTAGTTATCCAAAAATATACGTATGATAAATCGTTTAATGAAAATGGGTTATCGAGAATTAAAAATATTTACGATTATGACATGAACGACCTGAGTGAAAATAAAATGAATAGTTATGTTTCAACCATGAAGATCTTAAGGGACACATTCAATAACAAACATTTAGATAACATGAATAATAGTAACATTGATTTGAATTTAGATATTGGTACCATGAATTATGAAAGGATAGCAAATATAAAGGATATATACGATGGGGACGACCTTGATAATGTAAAAAATTATGGTAGATACAATGGGATAAACAAAATAATTGAAAATAAAAATGTTAAAGAGATAAATAATTTTACGGATATGGAAAAATCAAGCTACGTTAATTTTTTGGAAAGACATGTAGACAGTAAAATTCTAAATAACACTAATTGTGTGGATATGGATTACTACAACACAACATCTCTTTATAACGGAGTCAATGAGGAATTCATACTTTTGAATGGTCATACAACTGTTACAAACCAGAATCTTTTGCTAGACACTAACAGTGGAAATATTGTCAATGTGGTAAACAGAGTGCATAATGAGCATAGTACAAACGCATTAAGTAATAATATGAATGGGATTAATGTTGTTAATGATAATGATAATGTTAATGATAATGTTAATGATAATGGTAATGGTAATGTTAATGTTAATGGTAATGTTAATGGTAATGTTAATGGTAATGTTAATGGCAATGTTAATGTCAGTGTTAATGATAATGATAATGGTGGTGGAAGCCTAAGTGGCATAAGCACGAATGACACACTGAATAACATAAGCACTGTAAGTAGTATAAATTCTTTAAGCAATATGATGAACTTAAACAACATAAGTAATTTAAGCAATGAGAACAGCATGAATCTACAAAACAATTACGCAGGTTATAAGGAAGTTTCCTATATCAATAGGATAGAAAACAAAATGTGTAAAGAAGATATGTTCTTGGGGATACAAAAGGAATCATCGAAGAACTCCTTTACTAAAGAGGGTATAAATAATAGTGGAGTTACTTACAAAGAAAAAGTTAGCTATGAAAATATAAAAGATATTAATTATCCAAATGAAACACAAAATTTCCATGTTTCTGAATTAAATAATAAGCACATTCGAAAGGATTATAGAAATTTTATGAACATACAAGAAAAAAAATCAATTTTAAAAAGATCTTCGAATGATAAGAACATGCTCATTTTAGCAAATTGTAACAATACTATAAAGGAAAAAGGGGGAATAAATGAAAATACAAATTATAAAAATATATTTATAAAAAATGAAGTTGAAAGGAATAATTCTATTTTTCCAATACAAAATAACAATGATAATAATAATTTATCTAATACAAATGTTTTGGGAGGAAAACACAGTAATACACCCATACATGCAGTTAATTTTAATTATGTAGAAAATAATAATATGGATAATAGTACATGCAGTAGCAATGTATTTAATGAATCATCTAATTATTATAGTAAAAAATGCATGCACAATGAGGATATAAAAAATATAAATTCATATATTCCCATGATAGAACCTATTAATATGAACGGTACTACTGGAGGACAATCTAATCCGGCGGGTAGTTATAACACGAATAATATAGAGAAAAAGTCATCCAATAAAGGAAAACGTAGAAATAAAAGAACCACAGAAAAAGTCCATACCTCCGTGAAAATTAATACTTTAAGGATCAGTTCAATTTCGAGTGATAAGAACAATGAAAAGAATGATTATACGAAAAATGTAAATTTAGAAAACAATTTTGACATAAACAATGTAAAGATAGATGGAAGTAATATCAAAATAGGAGAAGTAACCTTAAATGAAGACGATTTAAATAAACTCATTTTAAACATTAATTCTAATTTTGCTTCCATAAATGAGAATAACGAATTATACAAAAGTCTTTTATTTTTGGAAAAAAATAATAATAATAATATGATGATGATGAAAATGAAAAAACCATTGAAACGAAAGAGAAAGATTAAAAAGGCAGAAAACGAAGAAAATGAGAAGCCAGAGCAATGTAAAGAACACAATAGTGGGAAATTATTAATAACACAAGACCAAACAACACACAAAGAGTTTAAAAATTGGGAACCAGTTTTTAACGATAATAATGAACCCATACGTTCAAATAACTACACAGAAGGAATAGTAGCTACCAAGAAACAGGCCATTCGTAAGTTTAGATGCAATAAAAGTGTAAGCGGAATATCTACTAGCCAAAATAAGGAAATAAAACTTACTCCTGTTTTAAAGGATGGTGAACAAAATAATAACATTGCCACTGGGATGAGTAGTATGTACAGAGATGATACCAATGAAAGTAGAACCTTTGAAAACAGAACCAATGAAGATAGAACCAATGAAAATAGAACCAATGAAAATAGAACCAATGAAAATAGAACAACCGAAAATGGTACGGATGAAGGAAGAACCAGTGAAAGCAGAATCAATGAAAACGAAACAATATCTGAAACGCATACAGGAAATTGTAAAAATGCAGAATCCTTGATTAGAGACAATCTGAACAGCGAGAAAATTACAAATGATCAGACCAAGGAGAAGGGCCCAATAACATTAAACATGGCACGTGACTACACGAAAGAGAAATCGAAAAGTTCTGTTCGTAGGAGGAATAAAAAATTGCGAATAAACGAACTTATACATTTTCCAAATAGTAACAATGAAAATACTCTTAACAATGATAGGAGTAACAGTAATAATAATCATAGCAATCCTTTCGTGGGTTACAATTGTAGAAATAGTAGCAATTTCCCAAATCAAAATACTGAGGGCGAAAATTACATTATGAATGCTTTAAGCGATATTAACTCGTACACAGATAACAGAAATTTTGATACTTCCTTTAAAATAATGCAAGAAAAAGCACATACTGAAATTGATAAATCGAAGAATCATAGCAATATACATGATGCTCTAAATTGCAATGATGAATTTTCTGCAAATGTGAATGAGTTATGTAAGAAGAGTGAATTTACTTTTGATCAGTTGAATAATGACAGGAATAAGAAAAATGATATTGATAAGAGAAGTGGCAACTCCAACCGTGGCACTATGAGAAGCAGCAATAATATGGAAACATTAAGCTGTTGCATAAAAAAGGAAAGTGATAATATTTCCCATGTGTATTACGCCCCAAAGAATAACGAAATTCAAGACCCTTTTTCCTCATACGGAAATTGTGTAAGGGATGAATTAAGAGGGGTGTGTGAAGATGGCACAAAAATAAATGTTCAAGGGGACCTCGCCACAACAAATAACATTATTGGAAGTAATGCAGGAACTAATGAGACAGCTATCTTAGGAAATAACGTGAGCAGCAAGCATATTAATGGTAATAATGATGAATGTACAGGAAAAAAGAAATACATGAGGAGAAAAGGAAATAATAAGAAAGACACGCAAGAAGATAACAACCCACAGGATGGTGAAAAAATAAACGAAATTACTAAGAAAAGAAAATTTTATAAACTTAAAAGTAAAAATAATACTTCCCAAAAGAATAGGGAAAATTTGGAAACTGACGTTTGCATGGGAATTACGGATCCAGAAAATATGCCATTAAATGAACAATCAGGACAAATGAAGAGTAACACTAAGAAAAAATGCCATGCAAAGCAGGGAATTATTTCTATCAAGCAAGAAGGATTAGATGAGTGTGTAGATGAGAATAATTTCCATTCAAATATGATGATGATGTGTAAAAACGAGATATTTAATAGGGTTGTAAAAGATAATTTATCAAATGAAGAGCAATTTATAGTGTTAGAACATCCAAATGGGGAGATAGTTAAAAATGGTATAAATATCAAACTGGAAGAAACACATGTAGATGTAAACACAACCTCATGTGCATCGGCTGATATAAATCATGCTACTGTAGAACAAAATGTAAAGTTAGACATTGAAACAAATTTTAAATCGAAAAAAATACCTAAAAGAAGTGTAAATTTATTCAGAGCCCCCAAAAAAAAAAATGAAACAGCATTAGAAAAAAAAATACGAGCAAAAATTTGCCTCGAAGATTACTACAAAAGAAATAAGGAAATATACAATGGTATCGATACTTTAACATCCATTAATGATACTATTTTGCCTTCGATTGAAGATGAATCATTTGGTGATAATTTAAAAGCCCTTTTTAAAAAAAAAAAGAAAAATTTGATATGTTCCAATTGCTTGTATGCGTATAAAGTACAGATTAGTAGGAGACATGAATTCACACATAGCACAATTGAAGATGGGGAGAAATCCAATCAGGATAATCTTAAAAGTGGTACACAAACTGTCCATGGGAGTAATGAGAATAATGACAATAATGAGAATAATGAGAATAATGACAATAATGACAATAATGACAATAATGACAACAATGACAATAATGACAATAATGTACCAGCGAATAAGCAGGATAATTCCGAGACTAATAATCAGGACATCAGTGCCCATGTGGATAACCATTCCAATTTTAGCGACAAATTAAATGAAAATAATGAGGAAACGGAAAAACCAGTTGGTGCCACATCAATAACGACACAAAAGAACGCAGTAAAAAAATGTAATATTAAAAGGGATGAAACAGTAGAAGGAAAAAAAGATATTAGTGATATGAATCAAAAAATGGAAGATGATACGTATGTTTTTGAAAAAATGAAGAGTGAAAAATATTTTGAAATCGGATTGTACAAAGAATTAGTAAAAAAAAATGCAATAGTAGAAAAGTATTACAAAATTACATTTTATTGCCTTTGTGGTTATTATAAATATATAAAAGAAGATAATGAATGGAAACAAATTATTAATTGCTACTATGATGAAAAAGACGAAAGAAAACCCAAAGCACCTTATATATTTTGCACAAAATGTAAAGAATTATTAGCAACTAATAGATTTCTAGACAAGGATAAAACTAAAATTATTATGATATGTCAATGTGGAAGTAGAAACTACGATCGAACAAATTTCTTTTGGTCTAGAAGAGGAAATATCAAACAAAGAAAAGCTCCTCAAATATTATGTGATGATTGTAATTCTAAAATGTGGGTACATACATGGCTTGATGACATTGGATCTAAAGTAAAATTATTATGTAAATGTGGCTTTAAAAATTTTCTGAAAAAAAATAACAATTGGGTTAGAAGTCCCAGATGGAAAAAACCAGTTCCGCTAATAATTTGTAATTCATGCCAGCAGAAAATGTATATGAGTCAATGGCTAAATAATGATGGAACTAAGGTTAAAATGAAATGTGAATGTGGTTGGAAAACCCTAATCAAAGAAGGAAATAAATGGGTTAGAAGTGAATGGTCCAAAAAATTATTATGTCTGAAATTAGTAAAAAACCCAGGCCTTATACAAAGGAAATATAATATTCATTCACGTAAGAAAAATAAATCGGATGAAGATGAATTATCAGATAATAATTTTCTAGATGGTTTATCATTTATCAGAAATGAAATTTTTCCAACCTTCTCACCTGATGATATAGCAGTTAATCCCAATGATACAATTACGAGTGAATTTTGTAACCCAGACACGATAAAACGTTGTTTAGAAAGTGATGATAATAATGCAATTAGCAAATTAACTAACTCTGATTCTTTGTTGATTACTAATCAAAATGAACATTTATTAATTAGAGATGAAAATTACATAATTAAGAACGCAAGGACTAATGTTGATGGATGTCCAAACGATGCAATATTCCTATTAGAAGTAGAAAGTAATATGGAAATAGGACAAGAAATTCCATATGAAGGAATTATTTTAAGTAAAGATTATGGTACTAACGATCAAAGGGGAAATATTGAGAGTGACATTATATGCACAGTGGATAACGAAGGAAATAAAAACAATAACAGCACAAGGAGTAAAAAAAGTAGAAACGTGAAAACGCACGCGAATCATAAGAAAAGAGGACATTACAGTAATTCTATTAAGAATAAAGACTGCTATATTAACAATGGAGAAGTTGATGATAGCACATCCAATCTATATAATAATATCAAAAATCAACAAATAAATAGCAAAGAATTAGGAGATAATTATGTTGCAAACGATTGTGAACAAGAGAATACTAAAAGATACATGGAATCTCCTCAAATCCCTGATTATGAAGATACAAATGCCAATGAAACACTTAATAATAAAACTCAGAAGAAAAAACCAGGAAGACCGCCACTTAATAAAAGCGTTAAGAAGAAGAAAAAGTTAACTTTGGTAGAAGAACTTAATAATACAGAAAACATTTCCATTGATGCTACAATGACAGCTGCCACGTCTATTGCTTCAGTTGCCACTACAGTAGCAGCTGCAACAACTATTGCAACAACGGAAAGCACTACAGATACATGTACTTTAATGTTAGATGAAGGTTCCACGAGTAGACAATTATATCAAATTCATCAAGCCAATGATAAGTTACTGATAGAAAATGTGATTAATAAAAATGCTAATGTACCAACTGATAATATAATCAATCATCCGGATAATTATAAACCAAAGAAGGAAAAATTAGCAGAATGTGATAGTATTAATAACCCTGAGATACTAGATTTTCATGATGTAAAATATACCAATGATGAGAATAATTCATGTAGTAACAGTAGCAAAATATATCATGACAATTCATTTCACTATGTTAAAAATTACTATGGAGAATCTTATGAAAAAAGTCATTTTAATCAATCCACCGTATCTTGCTTTAACGAAAATAGCAATGACAACAGAAATAATAGTAATAATAAAAGTAGTAGTCCCCATAGTTGTTCCAGCAGTGGTTACACTAACAATCTGTTGTGCAGTTCCTCAAACAATCCAAGCACTAGTACCAGAGGTGGTAACAAAGGTAGTAGCAATTTCAACGAAGACATAAGCACAGAATTGTATAATTACAACCCATCGAACAATCGGTATGATCATCCTAATAAGGAATACTCAGTAAATTATAATATTATTGCACCAATAAATGCAATGATGGATAAGAAATATGTGGATAATAAAGACAGTGCAGAAATATTACCAGTAGATATAGATTTTGATAAAAAAGAATTCATTGTAGAAAACATGAAAAAATTAAATTTTAATATAAATGAAAATGATATAAATGCCCTTTTGGAAAATATTGATGAAGATCTATTAATTGAAACGCTTATGGGAAAATTCATTAATAAGAATCTTGTAGAAAATGGAAAAGTGGATAATAATACTATGAACCATATTGGAAATTATGCAAGTCATTTGAGTGAAAATGCGTTTGATCATAACGGACATAATTCGAATGAATTTGAACGAGGAAATATGAATCAAAGCGAAATGCAAAATGATAGCAACCTGTGCTCGTATGAAAATTACGAAAACAAAATCTTCACAAATGAAGCCTATCTGAATGATTTATATCAAAATAATATTTATGAATGTGGGTTACAACAGAATAATGAGTTTTATCAAACTATGCTTGAACACGCATTTAATAAAATCGGGTGTGCTGAAATTGGTTCAAGAGAAAGCACCATTGTCAATAAGAAGAATGAACATGTTGAAATAGAAGAAACTAAGGATAACAAAAACGAAATTAGAACAAAAAATATGAATATAATAAATAGTCGAAATATAGGTACTAATAAGTTTAACATTAATTTGGAAGAGAGAAATAATGGACATTATGTTGTTGATGATACTGTGAATAAAAAAACAATAAATCAAAATATGATGAATAATATTACGACGAACAAAAATATAGCTAGAAAAAATACAATTCCCGATATGTGTATAAATGATTACCTAAGTAGCAACATTAAATATTCGAGCGAGTTGATGAGAACAAAAGGTAAGTACAACATAGAAATGGATTTAAATGTAGACGAAAATATAAATGTGAAAAGTTTAACAAATTGTGAAATGTTAAATAATAATGTTAATAATAGTATATGCAACAATATTGTGGAATCTATGGATCACCATGGATTTGAAAATAGGATATATGAAAATGACGCAAACACTGACAACCAATGCAATGACAGCGAAAACAGTAGTATAAATGGTAACGGAAATAACAACAATATAAGCAGTAGCAATAATCACGGCGATAATATAGTTGAAGATATGAACGATCAAAAAAATGATAACCTGATAAATGTGTGCAATTTGAACGAAAACTACAATTATTTTAGCAATGAATTTAAAACTGTTCTTTTGAATGTTTTATCATATAAACCATCTGATGTTCAGAAAGAAAATTTTTATAATTATTTAAAAAATTTATCCAACAATTTTTGTAATTTCGTAAATAAAGATGATGATATTTCAAGTGAGAAACAACAAGAATACAATAATAATACCGTATTAACCTTAGAAGAATTAAACAATTATTTAAAAGATGACAAAATAGAAAATAAGAATGACTATAAGGAATTGTTACTACAATTATTAGCCAACCAGGATGAGAATTCTACTCCTCCTAAAAATATGTTTTTCAATGATTATAATATATATGAAAATATTTTAAACATGGAAAAAATGAATGAAAAAATGAAAGGAGAAGAAGAAATGTCCACCCCATCATATAAGCCACAGATGAATGATATTAGTCCAGACAAAAATAATATGAGTGAAGAAATGTATTGTGTTTACAATTTTAATTCAGATAGTGAAGAAAAAGTATGTACGCATGAAAAAAAATACAAAATTAATGATTTTATAACTGTATGTACAAACTGCAACGAATATATAAATTCGAACATGGATTGTAAAATTATATCACCCAGTAGTCTGGATAGTAGTAATAACTCTTCCATGCATAAATTGAATGTTCATGAGGATTTTGTTTTAAATAACAATGAATTAAAGAAATATGAAAATTATGATTCCCAAAAAAAAGGCATGAAGGATTATCACAGTGAAAACATATACAACAACCAGTTAAAATTAGAAAACAAAATTTTGCCCAATGGTATAAATTCACGAAATACGAGAAACACGATCTACTCAAGTATTTCAAGCAATATTGATGATGCAAACGATGCAATAAGTGTCACAATGAACGGGGTAAGGAACACCATTAGAAACAATAGTAATGAAAATAGCGCATCCATTGAATGCTATAATAATAATGCTCCAATTATTGAAAATATAGAAGAAACCAGTTATATGTACAATCAGTACTGTGAATACTATGTTAATAATATCTCGATGCATATGCAGATGAAAAATAATTGCCTAAACAATATTTTTGTCCAAGATGCAAATAAGTACGCTTCTGCTAGCGATAACTACGCGAATAACCAAACACCTCTAATAGAATCCGAAATTTTTTATTTGAATGAAAATAATAATTACCTTACCGATCCAACCAATTTTATCCATGAGAAAAATATTACAAATAATGAATTGACATATAAAAAAGGAAACTATAGAGAAAATAACGCAAATAATAATAATAGTAGCGATGGTAATTATCAGGAGGATGATTACGAGAATTATATTAATTCCGAGTGTAACAACAATTCGTGCTACAATATAATTCATATCTGATTAAATGGATAATATAATGTGTCTTTTTCTCTCTTTTACCTATGGGGAGGGTGGTGAAAAAATGGGACATACTTATTTTTTTTTTTTTTTTTTGCGCACAATAGTAATAAGTTATATTAAGGAAAAAATTGGAAAGTATGTGAAGAGTTAAGAAGTGAAGAAGTGAAAAATGAAAAATGAAAAAGTGAAGAGTGAAGAAATGAAGAGTGAAGAAATGAAGAGTGAAGAAATGAAGAGTGAAGAAGTGAATAGGGAAGGAGTGAAGAAGTGAATAGGGAAGGAGTGAAGAAGTAAATTTTTTTTTTTTTTTACAAATTTGTTTGACTAAATTTTCTCAAGGAGTTCCAACGACGGGGAAGTGACTTTTCATTCATATATTGTTTTTATTTTAACTTACGTACATATATTTGTATAAATATTAAACGTATTAATAGTTTTAAAAGCTTTAATTCTTTATGAATCGCATTTATAGCACTACATATGTATGTAGTTATAGAATAATTCAAGTTGAAAAAAAAAAAAAATTTTTTCCCATTTAATAATGTTTCTTCTTTAATTTTTTTTTCATGTTTGTTAAAATTATAATTATGTATTTATGTAGTAATGTATTAATATAATCACGTATTAATGTAATTGCCTATTTATGTAATTGCCTATATATGTAATTGTATATATATGTAATTACCTATTTATGTAGTCACGTATTAATGTAATTGCCTATTTATGTAATTGCCTATATATGTAATTGTATATATATGTAATTACCTATTTATGTAGTCACATATTAATATAATCACGTATTAATATAATCACGTATTAATATAATCACGTATTAATGTCATCACGTATTAATCTAATCCCGTATTAATCTAATCCCGTATTAATCTAATCCCGTATTAATGTAATCACGTATTAATGTCATCACGTATTAATTTAATAATGTTTTAACCTATTAATAATAGTAAGACTAATAGTATCTACACCCATAACAATAGTTACATATTTATTTTTAATTTTTTCTGTTTTTTTATATTGGACACTTCTAATTCAAATGTTTCTTTTTATTAATTTTTGCGCAAAAATGTATTTTTATCCTAATCGAGGTGTATCTTTCATTTTTAAAACGATTGCAAAACATACCACACCTTCAACACAGTTATGCACACATTACTGAAATTAGAATAAAAAAAAGTTCCTCATTTTTTATTCATTGGACTTTTTACGCATTTACATGGTAAGACGCTAATATTTCTACCCAAGTTCATAGAATTATAAAAAACCAAGGAAATGTTAAATATGGTTAAAAGGAAGAAAATAACCTGGGAAATTGACTTAAAAAAGTTATCCTAAAAAATACGATGTTATGAAAAGTGCCCTTAACAAAGACGAACCAATAAATATCTAAAATGCCGAAATTGCTGATAAAAATGAGATTATATTCCTTTTTATTTCTACCCCTATGTGCACGTAAAGACCGTATATACATGTGTATGTATTTATTTAAAAGAACATGAAGGGAGTCCTTTTTGTTTACAATGAAAGAACAGGATTTATATATATGTAACGCTTTCATAGAATATCCAATGTATGGCATGTCTTGGTTTGATAAATTATGCAATATAATAAAACAAATTAGGTTTTAAGGCGTTACTCATTCTCATGTGATAATCATTTTATAATCTTTTATACATTATTTTATTCATCCATTTGAAGCATTATTTTCTTAAAATCTTTCGTCTTGTGAATTTTTTTTTTAAATTATGTTTTATGAAATAAAAATATATAAAACTATTTTCTTTGAATTATAAACAATTGAATTCTATTTTATTGTGTTATGCTATTAGCTACATATGTTATAATTTTTTTTTTTCTTTTTTTTCCTTGCATAAAAACTTTTTATTTATGTATTAACTCTGGCTAAATCTATTACACTTTCTAAAAATATTCAGTTAGGTAATAATATTAAAAATTACATGTAGTTGAACAAAAAAGCAATGCAAGGATATAAATTCAAAAAACATTTCAAAAGAAAAAATAAAATGTAAGAAAAAGTAATTAAAGGTATGTGATTTAACTCATGCTGGGAAAAAAAAGGAATAAATTTTTTTTTTTTTTTTCTTTTTTGAAGTGTACATAATAACACACCTAACTTTTCAAAGGCGAATTAATTTAGAAATGAGAAATTAGAGTTATCCAACCTTATGCAAATTGTGCATATTTATAAGTGAATATTTCCGCATAGATTTCTATACAAATATATTTGTCAGCGTAAAAACGTACATATATATACATATATACATGTGTGAATGCATGTACATGTTCATTATGCTCAAACTTCAATACTATAAATGAGAGAAGGTGGTATGTTGCATTCTATAAACGAAGGTAAGGAACGTGATGAGAAAACAAATGATACAAGCGATAGGAAGGAAGGTAAAGTTGATGGCTGCTTTGATAACCATTGTGTTCGCGAAAAGGAAGACGATGATACGTATGTAATAGATGAACAGAAAAAAGCTGCAAATGCACAGGAAAATAATGATATAAGCGATAGCTATATAAAATATTTAGAATGTATAAAAAATAATTGGTCATCTTCTCAAGCATCGAAATTATTAAATAACAAATTAATGAAATATATATCTGAACGATTTTTATATATGTCTAGTTCCTTAAAAGTACGAGTATTAACGAGTTTTTTCTACTTACCTGATAAATTAAGAATAGAAAATGAACGTTATTTGTTATTAATCACAGCAAATGGTGAAATTGATGGTAATGGATGGGTTAAAAAATTTAGCAGAATCTTAAAGCCATTTATTAAAACAGGAATAATTGATATTAAAGATATAGATAGTCAAACAATGCACAGGATTTTAAATTATATTGATCAAGAAAATAATAACAACAAATGTAAGAAACATTATATTCATAATAAAAAGGAATTGGAGCGTATACACATGTGCGATCCTATGAATGAATTGAAAATTTTGGAAAATAAAAATATTATACATTTGGATGAGTACAAAATGTTTACACCATCAAAGAATTTTGATTGCCTTCTTTCATCGGTAATTATGAGAACAGGCCATATTGTTATGATCTCATTTTATTATTCTTATGGTGCATTCTTGTGCAATTTTAGGACGTTCTAGCATTCGCTGTATGTTTCAACATATTTGCATATTGCTGGGCGCATCTGTACACATTTCATACGTGTATTTTCAAAACGGAGTACCCTATGTTGGCAACACTAAGCAGATAACCTGGAATTCTGCTTTGTATATGTGTTTGTGTTTACGTTTGCATTTGCGCTTATTTGTTCTCTTTTACTTGCAAGGGTTTTGAAAAATTGTGAGGGATAACTAAAAATGATGTTTGCCCAATCTTGCGTACCCTATGAACACGCATGAATTAAATGTCTTGGTAAATTTTCACTTTTTCTTTTCTACATTTTTTCCTATTTTTCAGGTCATTAAAAGGGGAATAAACGAGTTCAAAAACTGCATATAAAATTTAGTTGTCCTTTCAGGTTTTACACATTTGTGCAATTTTTTTTTCTTTTTTTTTTCCAGTTACTGCATCGCAAGAACATATTAACTTTTTTCCAGTGTACCACAAGTATATTTGTGTGATTAACACCCCTACGTTTTACAACATATTTTTTTTTTGTATGTAAGTTCTCCCCCCTTTTTTTTTTTTTTTTTCATCTTATATTCATAATTATATGTTGCAAAACACTTTTAATGGCATCATTTTTCATTATTTTATAATTGATGTAAAAATATGCTTATTTTTTTTTTTTTTTTTTTTTTTTTTTTTTTTTTGCTTTATCTTTTTGATCCAATGTTGCACAGCATTGAAAAGTACATAATTTTAAGTGTCCTTGAATGGTGAAACACTTGTGAAAAATGTTTCAATGTTTTTCTTTCGCCCAGAATTTCGAAAGGCAGAAAAAGTTGCCCTACTATTCAAATGTTAACTTGCACACAAAAAGAATTGAAAGAGGAAAAAAAAAAAAAAAAAAAAAAATTCATAACATAGATATGTACAAATAAATACATACGTACGTACATATATTACAATACTCATGCAAAAACATACATATACATACGCTAACATGAATATGCACGCCCGGATTTGTAAACATGGAATATCTTAAAAACCAAATCGAGGGGAAAAGAAGGCATCAAAATAAAAAGAAAACCAGAGAAATTAAAGATCTTATATATATAATAATAACATAAAAAACAATAGAAAAAACTTTCAAATCAAACATCATTATATATTTTTACATACAATATAAGTGATTAATTTTTTGTGTTTTCTAATTCTTTCACAGAATATATATTTTTGCATATAACCGCAGAACTGAATGACTTGTCGAAACGTTTGTAAAATAAGCCTTTCTTCAGGGATAAGCATTTTCTTTTTTTTCTTTTTTTTTTTTTGAATTGTACCTTTGGACACTTTTAAATTATGTCCTGGTTTCAACTCAAATCATTATTTTTTTCATAAACGCCTGATAGGTTTATACCTTTTAATTTCTTAAAAAATGCGTAGTCTTTTTTTTGTAATTTTTTCATTCCTCTGCACTTTGCTACATTATATCCAATGTGATGTCATAATTGTGGAGTAAGTAAAAAATGAAAGATAAAAACTGCTCTCATTTTTATTATTACAATGAAGAATAACATATTCATTGCCTTTTATTAGTGCACAAAAGAAGTGCTGTCAATGAGGGCACAATTATTTGTGAGGAGTTTGCTTACATGCTAATCCATATAATTAAGCGAGTGTACACGTGTGTTCCTATGTACTGTGCAAAAATAGATATATTTACATAATCTTAAATTGGAATACACACATATACATACATGATATACCTAACCCCATGACAGTTCAAATGATGATATCCAAAACTTTGATAAAGAGACCGTCTTAAACCTTTCAGAAGTAGGAACAACTATATGAAATATTATTAGCACGCATGTGTATATTTTCCCCTGTGTACATATATGTAATATGTGTGATATATGTGTATATATGCATATGTGTATATATGTATATGTGTATATATGTAGATATGTAAATATATATAGATATACAGGTATAGATATATAGATAGATCAACACATATAGATATATTCCTTCTTCTCATATATTTTCCCCTCTCTATTCCCATTTTTCTATTTCAGAACGTTTTTAACATATTTTTAGATACAAAAGTAAGTAACAATCCAATGCCTTAAAAAAAAGGAAAAATTTTTCAGTACCTAAACATCATACATTATCCCCTTTCTGTACAGACTCAGAACGTAGATATAATAGGAACATACGCACAAATTTATAATGTAAGAGATCAAATTTTGTGCTTTGACGTGTATTTGTATAACCATGAATATGGACGTGTACATTTGTTAATGCACATGTATGCCTATATATATGAGTACTTATTTACACACCCTCGATATTTGCTACTTTGCTTTCATATGCTCACCTATTTTGTTTTACAATTTTCGCATAACGATTCATTTTACAGAAATCCAAAGTAACCATAAATGGAACGTGTTCTTACATTAAGGACCTGATAAAGGGAAGAAGTCTTAAATATTTAGGTACGCTTCTTAAAATGTAAGAATATATCTCCCGGCATTCTGAGATAAATTCTAAAGTAGTGATAATAATTATAAAATAGAAATAATAAAATAGAAATAATAAAATAGAAATCATAAAATAGAAATAATAAAATAGAAATCATAAAATAGAAATAATAAAATCGCAATAACAAAATCGCAATAACAAAATCGCAATAACAAAATCGCAATAACAAAATCGTAATAACAAAATCATAACAATTAAATGTTAACAATAATTGTTTTTTTAACAGATGAGTTAGAAACCGTGGAATATTCCAAGTCCAAGGATGTAAGCTGATGATATATGCATTAGACCTAACCCCCACACACACACACAGACACACTTATATACTCAACAGTTTTTTGTTTACAAATACTTTTCTTTAAAGGAAGAAATAATAACGACTAAGAAGAAAGAATTAACACATGCACATAATTTTCGTTACGTGTGTGGATTTTCTTATTTTTATATGTGTATTTTGTACTATTCCCGTTTGAATATTTGGGACCTTCCAAAAAAGAATACATACATAAATTGAAACATTTATAATAAAAATTCTTTTACAAATGAGGAAGAACTGCAAATGTTTTATTTATTTGTATGTATATATTTGTTCTTTTCCTTTTTTTTTTTTTTTTTTTTTTTCTATAGACAAACAATTTTTCCATATACGTGTACACAGTTAACGGTCAAGCAGGTTATTATATTTGAATACGTAGCAAAATTTGTTCGTTAAAGATGTACAAATTAGGAAGAAGCATATATATGTACACCTCTCAATGCAGCACAATATGATTCGTGTTGAAATTTATTTCTCTTTTCTTCATAGATATAATACCACTTATTTACAAGAAACACCCAAAATATATAAGTTACATTATCACATGTAAAGAAACGGACATTTTTGAAAACCCAGAAGATGCAAAAGAAAATAAAAATGTCTTTCACACAAGCCCTGTAATTATAAAATGAAGAATGGAAATGCATCATATTGCATATATATGTATATTTGGCTAATCCCACACTAAACATGATTTTTCTACTCGTAAATTTACATTTCCACTATTTTTTTTTTTTTTATTTTTAGAGTACACTTTCTCAATTAATGGTCATTTTCTTAATATTTTTTTTTCTTTTTATCGGATTCTACGTCCTAATGAATATCAGTACCCCAAAAATATTTGAAGAAAAACAATTAATAATAAACAAAGAACATTGAAATGGTTATCAGAAAAATATAAACAGAAAAAAAAAAAAAAAAAAAAAAAAAAAAAACTCAACAAATGAGAATCCTTTTTTGTTATACATTGTTATTATTTGTCTTTTGAATTAAGTGTTTAAAATTTTTATTATCACACTTTAAAAATGTATTAATTTATAATAAAGAAAAAAGAAAAGTTATCCTAACATAAATACAGTATACTTTCTACACGCATGTGTACATGCGCGTATTTTTTACTTTATTTTATTTATTTTCTGTTTATAAAAATTATGAAAAAATTATACTAAAAAAAAAAAAGTAATAAAATAAAAAAAAATTATTAAAAAAGGCTATATATAAATAATAAACTTGTTGATGCTTTTGATAAAATAAAAGAGGTGAAGAATAAAAATAGGCATGGTAAAGGAAAAATGAATGATAAGTGATAGTTGTTTTCTATTGGGGTATAAAAAAATACACTAAAAAATATAGTGGCATTCATACGTGAACGGTAATATCTATTTTTAACCTTTGCTTAAGTTTCCATATTCTAGCAGAGTGAGATATATTTTTCTTTTTCTTTTGAAGGCAATGGAAACATACATACATATATACACTCATACACAAACATGCGTGTGTGTTTGTGTTTGTGTGTGTGTGGCTATCTACCTGCATGTGTCCGCAACCCTGTCTATATGTAAAAATATCCATATGTATGTGGTACGCATATAGGTAACGAATTAAAAGAGGTTGTTATGGTAGATGTTGTTATCGATATACTTCTTCAATTTGTGCGACTCGACATATTTCTGAATAGGAGTTTTCCACGCATAGGGAGTGAAGTCTGGTCTAACCTCTTCTGGTATTTTTGAGATATTAGACCTAAAATTCTTGCGACATACTATAGATCTTTTTTTCTGAATTCTTTGAATTTTATATTTATATTCTTTTAAAATGTTTTTAAACCAATAATCTGGCCAATGACTTGTACAATAGTGGGGCGCAAAATGACAAACGTATTTTTTCCCTGTCATTTTGCATAGTGTTTTAATAGATATAATTTTATTTAAACATCTCTTCAAAGCTTTTATTCTACTCATCCATTTGTTACTACCACTGAACGAGATCTTAACATTATCTAATCCTAATATGTAACCTAAAGGTAAATATTTCCTGTTGATTTTTAATCCTCTTCCAAGCGGTCTAGGAATTATTTTCACATGTGAAGAATATTCTTGTCCACTAACTGGAAAATTTAAAATGCAATTTTTATAATTATAGTCTATAAAATCTATATTACTAATAGAATTCAAAAGGGCGCTGTTTCTTGCTTCCTTAATATTTTTCCCGAACCCCACGCCATAGCCGTATACACCCTTCCCGTTTCCAATAATTATGATTATTCTTATGTAGTACACACGTCCATCTGTAAAAATGTGGGGAGTACATGGGAAGGTAGTAATTAGATGAGAAATACAACAAACAAGTGGTGGAACATTAAATTGGAAGTAAAAATGCCACAAAAATATTAAAAAAAAATAATAATAATAAAATAAAAAAAAAAAATTAATAATAAAATAAAAAAAATAAAACAAAATAAAACAAAATAAAACAGAATAAAACAGAATAAAACAAAATGAAACAAAATAAAACAAAATAAAACAAAATATAACAAAATGAAACAAAATAAATGAACAATATCCAATAAAGACGCGCACTTGTATAAGGATGCGTATCTGCCCACGTGTGCACCATAAATGCATGAATATATAGATCCTAACCTTTGGTCATGCTCATCATTCTTTTAACTTCCAATATGGATGACCTCATTTCGTTCAGTTTTAGCATTGGATCAATTGTTTCTTTTTCCCTTATATACTTATTTGTATTGTGATCATAAATAGTGTTTGGAATTTGCTTATATTTGTAACTGTAAGAATCAGTAGTTTCATCAAAACTGTATGTAATTAAAGACCTGTTCATATTATATTTTTTTTCCTTTTCTAGGAATAAATCTATGTCCATATCGTGATATCTATCTCCGTGATTATTGTTATTTACTATAGTTACAGAAGAATTATCAGAGTAAATCATTTTTTTTAATTCATCATCTGATATGTGTTTATTTGGTTGCATGGAGTTTATTTTTTCTTCAATAGAAAATTTTGGTTTCTCATTAAAAAGATAAAAGGGAGAAAATTCTTCGTAAAAAAAAAAGTCTGTAATGTTTCGGCTTGCACATTTTAACATTAGGTATGAAGTATATTTATCATTTTCATTTATTTCTAAAAAGTTGCAGTTCTTATTTCTTAGAAGATATTTTTCAAAATCTTTTATATCCATTTTCAGCCAGTTGTTTAGTCCTATTTTTTTTAAGTTTAAAAACATCATATTTAACTGCTCTTCTAAATTAGCATCAATTTTTTTCTCCATGAAAAATTCAATAATTGTTTTAAAATAATACGTTAGTTTGTCAGTGGAATAATCTATTTTATCATCTACCTCATTGTTGATATTCACTGGAAGATTATCATATATAAAATCATTTCCTAAATTATAATACTTTTCTTTATATAACATTTGATTATTACATTTCTGATTAACTAGGACTCTTCTTATGTGTTCTTTAATCCAATTTTCTACATATTCATCTTTTATATTACGAAAGGTCCTTGGCAATTTCGTTTTTACTTTCTTATATACATCCTTCATCCATCTCTCTACATCACTTTCGTTTTTCTCAAAAGAAAAAAACTCACACAAATTGTTAATAAATTTATATAATCTATCATTTTCAGTCTTCAATGGTATATTTTTTTCCTCCAAAAGGTCTCCAAATAAATAAATTAAATCATCACATATATGATTCGTTAAACTTTCTATGGCTAGACAAAAACTAGATGGGTTAAATACAGGAAGATTCATTTTCGTAATGTTCATAAAATTACTGTCGTTTATTTTAACTGCACTGTGGGATGGATCACTTCCTACTGTGGTGTTCGAAAAAATGTCTGCTTTGTTTTCCCCAGGTGAAGAAGAAGCGGGGATTCCACATATAGAAGAAGACGATGTGTTCTTTTCATCATCTATAATTTTACCGTTTATAATATTATTCGCTTCATTTGATCCATTGTGTGTCATTTCTTTGTTATCATCATGTAATATATTTTTCTGAGCGAACTCAAAAATATCATGGTTCATTTTACTATCTATGTTCATGAAAACATCTTCGTCAAAAATATTCGATTTTTCTGTTAACTTTAACAAATTATACATTCGAATTGCCTGTTTATATTTGGATTCACTCATTTCTTGCTTGCTTCGTTCATGTATAGCATCTATTTCTCCCCTTTCCTCTTCTTCATTTCTTTCCTTACTACTGATTCTGCTACTGTTGGTATTGCCTTGTCTAATGCTTTTATATTTTTTTCTTTTTATTTCCTCCAAAATATTTTCATCTAACAAATATTCATCACCATCAGCCTCATCATAAATTAATTGTCTCAGGTAATTAATCTTTTTGTTTTTTACATTTTTAGTTATACTGTTAATATTAATTTCATTGTTATATATGTTATCTAAGTACTTGTCTCTCACCTTTTCATTATATCTGTTCTTAAGCGTTTTATTTAAATGGCTATTATGAACACTTCTTGTATTCAGTCGCAGAAATCTGTTACAATATTTTCTTTTTCCCAATACGTTTTTTAGCATTTTAGAGAATTATAAAAATAAGCCACTTGTGTGTCATGTCATTAAAAATGGGATTTTAGTTTTACTATCCATAAGCAAATCCATGTTTTTGTAAAAATTTGAACAATTTGTGTAAAATTGAAAAAAAAAAAAAAAAAAATCTTTACAAGATAAGGGTATGATAGAACGTTGGAGATGCTACCTCTATTATTTACATATCTATGTATGTGAATATTATGAATATACCTCCAATTTCACGATATTACAAAAAATAGGGGAGAACTGAATTCGTGAAAAATTTACAAGAATTGGGGTTGCGAACTGAACGCGTGAAATTATCCGAACTAGCACAGATGCACATATGTGATAGGCGTACATATATATATACATATATATGTACGTAAAATGGATTCAACTGAAATGTATCCATATATGCACATGTATCCGCATACCATGTGCTTATTTGTATACATATAAAGCACGGTAAAAAAAAATAACATTCTCCGTACATAGATACAAACAATATATAAAAGTGCAGCTGTAAATGAAAATTTAAATGCCCTTAATTGTGCTAAACTCGTGAAAATGCTACTGTGCAAGAGATGGAGATGCATTTTGCTCTCTTTCAGTTCAGTTGACAAAAAAAAAAAAAAAAAAAAAATTAAATATTCCTTTTTCTGTTGAGAGAAAAAGGGTGAATAAATCAGAATTCATTCGTAGATATCATTCAAATAAAAAATTGGATTAACTATTTTTTTCGCTTGTATGTACTGCTCTGATGTTGTACATACTTCTTGATCCTTTGGAATTTGTATAGCTTTTTCATTTTTAAAAAAAGAAATGGGTGTTTGCGTTTCAACAGTTTTTTTGGTATATAATTTTTCATAATCCAAAAATACTTTAACTTGCAGTAACTTCTTATTTTTTATTGATTCTTCATTTTCAAATGTGGCTTGTTTTTCAATTCTGTTATACACATCGAAAATACTATCATCGTATATGTCAAGAACGTTCTTGTTATATATATTCAAGTCACTTATGCATTTTTTTATAACACTTTCTGATTTGTTGTTACAAAATCTGTTTATTAAGCCGGCTATTTTGTTGTACACATTTTTATTAGTCTTTAAGTGTTGTAGAATGGAACAATATCTGAGAGATGGAGAATTTTCATTTATGCAAGAAGAATCAGTGCTACATCTGTTACAATTGCCTCCTTTTTGAGGTACTAAATTGTGCACCTCTTGTAGTCCTTCATCTGAATTGTATGCAAATTCTTCATTTGCTCTAATTAGAAGCATATTCATGCTATTATTAACGCAATTTAAGAATATATTTTTTGAATGTTCCTCGGGGTTATTGTGTAGTTTGTCTATACATTCATTATCGTTCTCGTTTTCATTTTCATTCTTATCGTAGCCCACTGTACACATATCTGTATTTTGTTGTGAAGATGAAAATGTGTTTTCACATGGTTGAAATAAATTATCAAATGACTCAACTTCTTTACTTTGTAATAAATCAATTATTATTTCCCTTTCATCATTTTTCCTTTCATTGAAATAAAAAAAATCCAATTCGTAATCATTCACATTTTTAAATATGTCAAAAATGGCCATCTCTTCTTTTTTCTTTCTATTTTTTTCTTCTGTAAAATTTACACTTTCAGTAACACCATTAATTTTAATTTCCTTGGTATAATATATGTATTTTTTATTGTAATAATTGTATATAATGCACTTATCTTTTTTCATATTCAAAATAGGGAAGTATTTATAAAAATGTTTTAATAATAAATGGAACATGTGAATTGATTTGATAATTTGATAATTGTTCTTTATGCAGCATTTATAGCATTTACTTAATTGAATGAAATTAAAATATAATGCATGAGCTGAACCAACAATGTGACTCGAGTTGCCTCCCTCATTTGCTAGATTGTTAGATGAATCGGTTGTCTTTCCTTTATTACAATCCTTGAATGGACTATTCCTACGATTACATTCTATTTTATTTATATCGTATATTTGAACAAATAAGCCAATCATTTTTTTAATATTATTTTGAATTTTTATAATGTTTGATTTCATCATTTTTCTTGTATCTCTTATATATATTGAAAATATATAAATGTAGATGTAGCAACTGAACACCATTTTGTTCGTATGTATTCTTCCAGAGTTTGATAAGTTGGGGTTGTAATCTTGTCTTTCACTACAAGTTGGCTTAATTTCCTCTTCTCCTTTTTTATTGCTGAGATCGTTTGGAGAATTTTCATCAATTTTGTTATTAATTTTTTCGCACTTTTGAAGTTCATCTGTTTTATTACTATCTATATGCCCATCTTTCACCAACCCATTTAGGCTCGTTTGTATATTTTGCGTGAACATATTTATCTCATGCGTTATATTTTCTTCATTTGTGTTTTTTCCATTGTTCCGCTTACTTCCCTTCTCTGATGTATTATTGGTAACATTTCGCGAATTTAGATTCACATGATAATTTTTGTCCACCTCTTCCTTCTGTCTTTCTAGTGACTCCTCTTTATTTTTCATGATTTCATTTATATATTTAAAATAATTGTAAAGTGCCAAAAGTGTGGTGTTATATATTAAGTTAACGTATTTATATATATTTACAAAAAAGGATATGTAGACATACCGAAACATTTGAATATTCAAGAATTTTATATATTTAGTGAAGCTATAAATTTCTTCCTTTTCTATGTAAGATATATTATTAACATATATATCTTTAATATTTTGAGGGTTATTTAAAAATATAAAAAATTCTACATTTTTATAATTCTTTTTTATGTATCTATAAATATAGATATATATAAAAATACCCAAAGATAGGTTGAGAAAGAATTTTAAATAATTTTTTTTTTTTGTCATATCATTTTCACATATAAATTGTCTAATTTGTTTTCTACTAACAATTTTACGAAAAATTTTGGTAATATATATTTTTCTATTCTTCTTGTTATTTAAGCTACTATACATTTCACATAATTCGTACAAAAAGGATTTTCTAAAATTATAGTTTTGTATACAATTTTTTTTTGGACTATTATTTCTTCTCTCTGTCTTTATATATGTTTCAGGGTTAGGTATTCCACTGTTGGTAATGTTTTCTATGTCTGCGTCATTGTTAACGTTTTCTTTTTTTTCCCCCTTTCTTTTTTTCTTTTCATTTATTTTATCAGTTTTATTGTTTGAATTGTTAACCTTTTTTAAATTTTCTATGAAGTAATTCAAAATTGCACAATCAAAGGAGTATTCAGTTAATGCTTCATCATTTTCCAAATTATCCATCAGTTTTTTCCCCTCTTGTGTATTTTTATTCATATTAAAATGAATTCGTAATCCCATTTCAACATTTTGAACAGGACCAGAAGATCCATTTTTTATGACATGGATACATTTAAAAAATAGGGTAGAATCAACAATGATACTGTTAAAGTACTTTAAAAGATAATATTCTGTTATTTTATAAAAATTGTGAAATGTATCTGTTGTATATGAAAAGTTATTTACATGTTTATAATTACTGTTTAGTATGGCATGTCCATACTTGTTAATTTTTCTATTCAACTGTTTAATAACATTCGATTTCCCATCATTCTTTATAGCATTCTGTTCAAAATTGTAAATTAGAAAAGCAGATTCGACATCAGGTGATGTATCCATTTTGTACAGTCCTATTGGGATGGTAATTCATTCAATAAACATATTTGTGTAGTATATATATTTTTAACATGATAAATTCCCATTTTCGAGATATGCATGTACTATTTCAATTTTATTATATTTCTTTGGATTATTATCATTAAATCAGACATGTTAGATATGTTTTGTCAGCCTTCTTGATGCCATTACATTAATGGCTACATTTCACCCTCCGGCAGTTCAATTATTTTGTCTATTTCCGCTAATACACTTTTGCACGTATAAATAGGTGTGCACCTATTAGTATGGAAGTACATGCATATGCAAACAAGTATATAATAGCACTACCTTGAAGATCACATTTATTTACTGATTGTATTATGTGAAAGAAAATGAACGTGAGATTCCCTTTTACGATAATAAAATAATTTGTAAATTTTTTATAAAGTATCCAAGCATTAGGCATGGTTATAATTCAGGAGAATATGCACAAACGCGTGTGTATTTTGATGAATTTTTTTTTTTTTTTCATTTTTGTCTCATTTGTGTGTTCATATAATTTCTTCCCCCAACACACATACATTCATACATATATACATAAACGCTCACACATTCTTTTCTCTTTTCATTTTTCCCTTTTCGTTTTATTTTATCAATTTTAATAAAAATTTCACTTAAAAAAAATTTAAAAGAGCATAAATTTCAAACTTTTATAAACAACTGATTTTTTTTTACGTAAGTTAGGGATAAAAAAAAAAACCACAACGCAATTTGAAAATTTACAAACTTGTCTTTTATAGAATAACTAAAAACTGAAAAATAAAAGATAACGGATGAAATAAAAATCACAAATAAATAAATAATTGCCCATATATAATTGAAAGATAATTTAGTAACACCATAATAACAGGGTTTATTTATTTCCAATACATACGTTATTTCTAAAATGGTATACAAGATTAAACAAAGAAATATAAGGGCACATACAATTTGATTCAAATTGTATAGTCCTTTATTGTACAGGGAAACGTTTTTATATATGGTATAACTTAATAACAATATTTGATAAGCATAATTTAGAAAAAAAAGAAGTTTTTTTTTTCCCGTGCTAAATTCTAGATTCAATTTGATGTAATTTGAAATATAAAAGGAATCTGTGTATTTACTCATAAATACATTAAAATTAATAATAGCCCAATATAAACTTGTAAATGTATTTTCTGATAATATATAATTTGCTAAATTATCAATTTTACATGTCCTTATCGTATATATGTTAATTAAATTATTATTGAATATTCTAATACCATATAAAAAACTTAGGAAACATAAAAAATATATCAGATAATAACATAAAATCCACATACTATAATAACAAACTCTTGAATTGCTAATACTATACAGATATCTAATTTTTATCTTGTTATATTTTTTCTCTCTTTCACTTTCGTCACTGCTTTCATCCTTCTCATTATTGCTAAACTCGTTCATGTCAACGTTTATTAAGTCATCATTTATATCACTTGTTTCTCTTTTTTTGTTATTCAAATGGTTTATATTCTCCTTGTAATTCACATTTAGTAATAAAGTTAGACTATTCAAAATGGTTAAAACTAAGAGCAGTTCCCATTTAACCTGCCCTGTCCCAGAGCAGCTCGTGTAAAACTTTAACCCTTTAAAGGGGGGGGGGGAAAAAAAAAAAAAAAAAAATGCAAATGTGTGAGCGAATGGGAGAGAATTGATGAATCCACAAATTGGTTTCTATATGAACACACCCACATATTTAAGAATGCAAAGCACATAATAACTCTCAATGTTTATATCAGATTTTTTCAAAAACTAATATTAGATTATATATGTAGCACTAAAAATGGAAGCCAAGATGTATGGCAATATGGTCTATAAAACTGTTTCGTATGTGATATTCATGATAAACAGATATATACACGAAAACTTCGAAAGGCATATTATATGCATATGTATGAAGTGTCATATTCAAATTTGTTAACTAACAATCATTCCTGTCAAAGGCTGTAAAAACGGTGTGAATCCCCAAGAATATTACAAAAAAAAATACGGGTAAAATAGTAATCTTCAATTTATGCCTTTTAGCCATATGAGAACTTTTACTTTCATTAAATGCGAAGTAGTATATATTGTGTAGCTCTCTTAAAGGCAAGTTTACCACTTGGTGAATTTTTGGATAAAAATGAAACTTACTAGTTTTGGTTTCATTTGCTAAAATAAGCAAATGTTATACATATGTTATATGTACATGCAAATATATACATGTGAATAAACAGGTATGGAAAAAAAAAAAAAAAAAAAAAAAAAAAAAAAAAAGCAAACTTTCTGACAAAAAAAAAAAAAATAAAGAAAAAGAAGTCAAGAAGAAAAAATATATATATTAAGGAGACATGGAAAATTTTAACGTTACAAAAAAAAAAAAAAAAAAAAAAAAAAAAAAAAAATTAACATTGTTGGTGGAGTGCTTTATTTTAATAAAGATAAAAATGATTTGTTAAAATAAATCTGATAGTAAAATCACATTCTCTGAATCTTTTATTTTATTTTATTTTTTTTCCAAAGGATGAAGAGTTGCGAATGTTTAAGCAAAAAAGCTTAAACATATATTCAAAAAATAGAATCGAAACATGCGTGAATTCAAATGGTCTTACTCTATTGCATGTATATATGCGAATATACATACTTATATGTATACATGCACATATATATACATATTTAACTTGTATAGTCCTATACACATGTACATATACCTGCTTATATGCATGAATTTATTTTTGTATTATGTCCTATGTTTAAATGGTTTATTTAGGATGTTTTATTTTTTTTCACACCCAATTACAGTCTCTCCATTAAGTGACATTTAAACACATTTAAAGCATATGTTAAGTTCATGTTGTTGAAAAGGTTTTAAATCTTATAATTTCTTCCCATGAAGGTAAATTTTTTTTTTTTTTTTTCTTTTCTTTACGAAAATATTTCAAACACATCGCTAATAAAATTTGTATGTTTATCAGTGTTACGTATTTGTGTATGTAAAGGAGGTCCCAAAGGGCGTATATATATTTTTGTGTATACGTGGGCAACACATATCGAATATATCCAATTTACACATTTTTAACCAAAAGGGAATAATGTTCCCAGACACTTAACATAACTTGTAAAAATGCGACACAGCAAATGATGCCTTCAGGGGGCAAATATATTACGACAATTTATACACTGAAATTAGTAGGAGTTAAGTACCGCAGCATTAAATTTTTAATGATTCAGGGTCAGACATCTTTTAACAGTTTTTATTCATTTTAAGGTCGTATGTTATAGGTTAAAGGGCGCACTTAACCAAACGGGAAAATGTTTTAAGTTCCATTAACCATGCCAAAATGGAGGAAAAGGTGTAGAAAAAGTAATATATATATATATATATATATATATATATATATATATATATATATATATAAAATAAATAAAAATGCCTAATAACAAAGAGGAACATCTTCACGTACATTTTGGCACTTTATAAATGTCTAGATTAGGTTGGTATGATTTTTTCCATGAATCTGGAAGACTACTTATCAATTCGTTTAAGTACTTTTTTTTTTTGGAAGGATTTTTTTCTATTTTTGTCCATTTAGAATAATTGCGTTTAACCTTATCCATCATAAATTGTGTTATCGAAGTTCTGTCAAGAGTTTTAAGAGAAGTAATTAAGGGGTAAACTAATTCTTTTAGAAATGTTCTTTGAATTTTTATAAAATTATTGTGGCAATTTCTATCAAAAAGTGGATTAATTTGATACCCCTTTTCTAATTGTTCATCTCCCTCATGATAAAATTCATTTACCAATCTTTTTACCCATAAATAATGTTCACTCCAATCAACACAATTATGAGACAAATCTGCAGCTTTTATAATCATTTTTAAGCATAATATAATATTCTTTTCTATATATGATTTAATTTTAATAGATTTAATACGAAATTGAGCTAATATTTTTATATGCTTACTCATATCAGTTGCTAAAATTACTTCTATTATTTCTTGTCTCAAGTTTAAGAGTGTTTTGGATGATTCATTTTTAAAAATATTATTTCCTTCCTTAAATAAAATGTGAAACAAATATGAGCAGTGATAATTCTCTAAAATAGATTTGTCATTATATATTACACTTAAAAAATTACCGGAATCTTTAAGAAAGAGATTTGTTCTCCCAAAGTGCCCAATGTCATGACCTAAAGCAGCTACCAAAAAAGCAGCCATTTCGTTATCTCGTAAAATATTTGCTGTGTCTAAATTGTTTACCAGGATATTGCAATGTTCTGTTACCTGTGGGGGAGAAAAAAGAGGGTGACAAAAAAAAAAAAAAAAAAAAAAAAAAAACATTAAGAGGGTAAAGTTATATATACACAGTGGTATATACAATACATCACATAATGTTCTACATAGAACAGAAATATATAACTGCACAAAATAAGCAGCATATAATTAGTAATAAAAGGAAAAGCTATTGTGTGGACTTCCTGTACAATGGAAATAATATAACATAAAAAAAAAAAAAAAAACGAAATAATAACACTTTTGTGAAACTGTGGAAAAAAAAAAAAAAAAATATATATATATATAACAATTAGACACACTTATCTATACCATGGCTGCGTGGATACAATTATGATAAGGAACATTGTTATATCCTTGTTTCATCTCATAAAGGAGTGAATGCAATGTTTCATTTGGTATGTTATGATTAACTGTATAATATTTATTCAATAAATTCATTCCTATTTCGGTAAAAACATTATCATGTAGTGTGTCCCTATTCAAAAACTTGGTGTTACAAATGCTGACGTCCACATCTCGCGAACACTAGAAATGAAGTGAAAAAAAAAAAAAAAAAAAATATTTCCTACTTGATGAATTATTATTTCCACATTGTTTATTTTTTATGTGCTTCTAAATTATTAGGAGTGTGCTGTGTAGAATTACAATTAATTGGGATTTAGCGTTCACTTATTTTTGATCTTATATTTATATGCACATACAAAGAAGCAAAAAATATAAATATACATATATACTTGTGTACGTACCATGTTTATATCCAAATCATTTTTATCACATTTAATTTGGTCCTTTTTTGCAGATTCTTGATGCAGTAAATATTGTTCATTTTTTATCCTCAGATCAGACATAGATTCTATTAGTGATTCCGTTTCAGATTCTTCTTTCGGTTTTTCTGCACGTTCATTCACCTCTTCTTCAGAGATCTCTTCTGTTTCCTCCTCCCTAGGTTCACTTTTAACATCCGATCGTTGCTTAATTTTTTTTATGTCCATCATGTAACCATATATATGATTATAATTCTAAAATAAAACAAAGAATGAATGCCCATGTTACATGATCAAATGGAATTCGAAAAATATACATATATATATTATATGTACACTGTTCTTGGGTCACTGCTTATACACAGGAAAATATATGCCTCCCTTCCAAAAACATTAACACACACATGCATTATTATATACGTATGTATAGAAGCATATACAAGTGGTAAAATTCTTTCCAGGTTAACCTTATTATTTATAGTTCTCAAATCTGGTGAGAATAAGTTGTCTTCTTTTAGAATATGTAAAATTTTTTTTAAATTATTCAGGATGGCAAAATCCTTTTCTTTTGGGGTGGAGTTTGATTCATAGTAATTTCCAATGGACTAAGAAGATATGGAAAAAAATGAAACTTTCTATAATTGTTTTTTTTGATTACCCCTTCTCAAATATGTTGTATGAAAACACAAACATGGAAGAAAAACTTTTGAAAAATGTAACATTGAGAAGGTATAAAAGAAAAAGAAAAGGCTTACATCATTTATTATATCATATATTTCTTCAATATTAGTCACAGACGATCTATCTTTTTCTTTTTTTAAATTTATTTTTAATTTAATAATTTGTTTTGTCTGTTTGTTCCAATTATTAAATGCTAATCTCCTTTGAATTTCAATGATGTACCGTATTACGAATATGAAAATGCTTCCTACAAGTGACGAGGCTATCATAAAGATGCTGGGAGAAAAAAAGAAAAAGAAAGGGGGTAGTATGGCTGTTTCTATAAGCACTTCTCTACATATGCATTTGCTTGTGTGTGTGTGTGTGTTATTTTATTTTTGTAACTCATTCCATCTTTGAATGCATTTTTTAATTACTTGTCTGTCAGGATATAATTTTTCATCGTTATTATATAGTAAACTGAATAAATCGCAACCTTCATTATGAAGAACAAGACGTCGAAAACGCATGAATAACATATTCTGGTGCAGAGATATAGATTTATGTAAGTATGTGTACCTATCTGTATATGTATGTGTATCATTTATTAAGGAAGTATAAAGCTTTTCATTCAACGAGCAAAAATCACTAAGCTCCTACTTAGCGTACGTATTATAAAAGTAATATACATTTGTTTTTTCTTTCATTTTTACCTGCACGGTATTATCGTTATTAAATATAAAACTGGAAGGTATGCATAAAAGCATAGCACGATATTTATTTTGTTGTGGGTATAGGTAGCGTATAAAAAATTATTTACATTTATAACAACTGGTAGATGGTCCTTCACATCGTTGAATAATATAAATAGCCATGAGCACCACAAAATGAATACCTGACGAAAAATTAAAGAAAATAAATAGCAAAATATACACATATATACAACACATAAATACAAATGTATATTACATAATATACGGTAAATATTGTGTAGCGTCTTATGCATAAAGGAATGAGAACACTAATGACAAAAGGTACGTCATGTTTGAGCGTTTTCAACTATATCCTCCACTATCCTCTTTTTTATTTTGCTTCCATTTTGTTTTCGTACAAAAATTGTATAAGAAATAAAAAGCTTGGATCTAGTCATTTTGAAATTTTCTACATAGTGTGTGTAATGCAATACTAGAGTTAGTATCACATTGATTGTGGCAAATACGTGTAAAAATACGAATGTCAATTTTAGGATAGTAAGCAAATCTGAAAAAAGAAAAAAAAAATGGAAGTGGAAATGGAAATGGAAATGGTTATACAGATGACAAAGCATATTATAGACAGAGGTATGCTTGCATGCGCGCAAAGTAGCACTATTCTGTTTTTACATCCCTGATACCACCTGTAAATCATAATAAATTAAATTATCCTATTTAACGGACCATTAATCTTTCCAACAATTAGACAAATGGAGTACATAAGTAAGAGAGAACTTAAATGAGAAATCAAAGAAACAAATTTTTTCTTTTCTATATTGTCACATAGTTTAACAATATACATTAACTCTTCTTCTTTATCCTTAAATTTCAGGGGCCAAAAATTAATGACCTTTTCTTCTTCATTACTAGGGAACGAAAAAAGTGAAAATGCCTTTTTAATTGCATCATTTTTATTATATTTTTCCTTACTATGACCTAACATTTTTTTTTTTTTTTTTTAATATTATTTCACAAAAAAAATAATTACACAACAAAATCATTATAAGATCAATTAAGGAAAATAAATAAAATTTCTAGACACTCTGAACGATTTTAGAGCGAAAGGCATGATAAAAAAAACAAATGAAAAATATATGTGTGCTATTATGGATCATAAAAAACTATTTATGCCCCTAAAAGCTCTATAACCAGGTTATGGTAAAAAGATAAAATGGGAATAGCAAGGAAAGAAAAAAAAAAAAAAAAAAAAAATCCCCAAAAAAATAGGGAAGAAAATGGATAAGTAAATAAATGAGAAGATAACATGTATATATGCGTGCATTCGTGTGAGGTTTCGTCGTCCACAAAAAAGTGAAAGACATGCATGAAAAACAGGCTTTACTATTCCTCCTTGTAACAAAATTACCTAAATGATATACATATTATTCTGTGCACATTTCGTAGTCATTTTTGTTATTCTTTCAAAAAATATTCTCTTAAAATGTAAATTATTTTTGTTTGGGAAGAAATATAGACAAAAATGTGTGTAAATGTCACACTTGTATAACCCTATATACACATATGTGTGATGTCCATTTTCAAAATGCGAGAAGATGCTTGGTGAAAAATGTAACAGTTTTCTTCAGGAATAAATTTAAAAATATATATATTTCCAAAAATTGTATGTGTACATTGAAGAATTTTTTTTTTTTTTTTCACACATTGTTCTTGTGGGAAATTAGGGTTAATCATAAAAAGCATGCAAATATTTATTAAGCCCATTTTGCATAGTAAATAGCTTTATGTGTTGTTAAACTCATTGACATAAACAGTTTTTCGGAAAAAAAAAAAAAAAAAAAAAAAAAAAAAAATACAAAATGGTATGCTTAAAAATTTTTCAGAAAATATTTACAACCCTTTGCTGAAAAGTTTAATATATGTTATTATAGAAAATAAGGGCTAATTAATAACCTGCAAGAGATTGGTGTTTGCTTACGCACGTAATTACGTGAAAAATCTTTTTTTTTTTTTTTTTTTTTTTTTTTCTTTACTTGGTTATTATTTTACTGAACATTGATATAGCAAAAATTTCCACACATTTGTTAATAAAACAAATAATTTATATATTATATTGAAAATTATTTTTTTTTTCATTTGTTCCTAAATTTCCAAATGCTACATAACATTGATGATTTAATTTTGTTTTCTACAACTATTACTCATAGATCCTTTTAATAATAACACATTTAACCCATTTAACAGAAGGTTATAATCCTTTTACTAGAACTAATATAAGTGCACTACGGAGAAAAAGATATACTAAACATACCAAAAAATTGCAACGACTTTATAAATTAATGCAGTAGTTGTATAAACTTGTGAAAAGACAACATTATATAAAGAAAGAAATAAGAATCCCTTTGCATAAAATATGAACAATAGTTATGTCGAATTATATGTATTAATATTATAAACAATAAAAAGGATGTTTTTTTAATTTATTTTTCTCTATTGTCTTGTTGATTATTTCGTCTAATCTATTCATTGGTTTCCTTTATTTGTTTCTCTTGTTTGGGAAAATAATATATAAAATCTGACATGATAAAGTGTCACTTATTATTTGTCAATTATTTCTACATTTTTTGACTAATATCAAATCCAACAAAAAAAAAAAAAAAAAATGTGAAATCGTGTTGATCCCCTTAGAATAAGAATAGAGCTTTGCACTTCTACACGAAAAAAAAAAAAAAAAACTAGAACACTATAATACTATCTAGAAGTAATGAAAACTATTACTTTTTTTTTTTGTTTTTTTTTTTAAAAGCTTATTTATCAAACATCTAAAAATTTAAGGATAAGAACAAAAAATATAAACGTATATTGCAATATGTTATATTATAGTGTAGCAAGTCTTCTTTAATTACAATCATGAGTACAATTCAGCTCTTATTGAATGACTGTATAAATCTTGTTAGGGGAATATGTAGTTATTAAATTGGGCATTGAGCACCTAATATAGAAAAATATTAACATTATGCAAACACTATTGTGAAGTAACAATTTCAAAATGGAAATAAAAAGTAGCACTGTTCCTCACATGAACATATAAATATAGAAAAAGTATAACGAAGAATAAGTTATACCTCTTAGGTAAAATCCATAAGATAAATATTATATATCTAATCCCTTGAACTATTTACATTAGTTGAGTGCCGATACAAAACAGTTTTCCATTTGGACGTACAGAGTATCGGATATTTGCAAGTTCCGTGTTACAAGTTCCTGATTATTCTTTACTTACTATTCGCTATTGTTCCCTATTTTTACTTTTTTTCTTCTTTTAAATGTTTCTTTATATTACAAGAGCTTACAAATTCGCTTCACATCTTAACAACAACGTTGGCATGATTGAACAAAAGCGATAGCACAGCGAAGAAGTGTGTGTATGTGTGTGGGGGTTGATTGGTTGGTAGTACTTGTAACATCTAATTCATTTTATACATATATGTGAACTTCCTAGATTGAAAAATACAGTTTGATATTTAGATTTGTTTTATCATCTAAGTAGGACGTGAGAAAAACAAAGTGGCAGAGGAGCAAAAGTGGCGCATGAGCACTTGTGCACACATGTGTAAGGCACACAGACATTTAAAATATAGTTCTATTTTACGAAGCAAAAAATGTTCACATGGAACAGCATACATTACGATACAATATCACATTTCGTAATTTCCTCTTTTTTTTTTTTTTTTTTTTTCTTTCTAAAGTTTAAAAATAAGTTTACATATTTTTTGTTATTCCCCCCCCCCCAAAAAAAATATACAACTTGCACTATTTTATTAATTTCAGATATTTTAATTTATTTTAAAAAAAGACAAAAGGATTTTTATTATTTATTTAATATGTATCATAAAGTATCAAAATGGAAAAAAAAAAAAAAATTAGGATGTACAATTTTTAGGCAAAATTTAGAACAAAATTTGTTTTTCTTTATTTTATGCACTATTGGTATACACGTATTTTATTAAAAAAAAATTATTTCACTTTTCGTATATTAATTTAAAGTAAAATTGTATACTTCATTATTTGTTTAATATTTTTAACTTAATTTTTTTTTTTTTTTTAGTTCTAATTTTGAAAAGACAAATGTGTATCATTTTGAGTGGCTACACTTTTTCATGGTGTTAAACATAGTTGTAAATTTTAGTGTTATTCAAAAAATACACACTGCTACTGCTATGCACATGTGTACACTGCTATAAAAAAAAAAAAAAAAAAAAAAGGTTAAAAAGGAAAAGAAACAGAATTTAAATTATAAAACTTGCAAAATAGTGAAATATTAGCAAAAGCTAGTTTTCCCTATCTTTGAACACAAATACAATTTAGAACCAAAACGGAGTAGAATTCTCGCATTAATGGTAGTAATCCGTTTGGGGAAAAAATTACCCTGAAATTATACAGACTTTTAATTTTATACTAGAAAGAAACTCATATTACATGTATGTTGTGTGGATACACAAACGCAGGCACATAAATATATACACATACATATATTATACATATACATATATATACGTGTACATATATATACATACGAGTGATATGTGCGCATATAATTGGAACAAATATTATGTGGGTATTCCATAGAATAATGAAATAAATGAAATGGAAAACACAAAAAAGTCTGGGGAAAATGATAAAAATAGAACGAGCAGCGATGGTGGCAAGAATAAGACAAAATATACAAATTCAAATGACGATTCTCCTGATGAGAATAAAACTAGCTCCTCGAATGTAAATAAAAATAAGACAATAATTACTAAAAAGAGCTTTTTATCAAATGTGTTAATAGATACAGAAAGCAGCAAAAGCGAAATAGATACAGAACATGTAGGTTGTATTAAAAAAAAGAATAGTGTATTCCAAGATTTAGATATGGATGAAAAGCTTTGCATGAATAAAATAAGAAAAAAAAGTACTAAATTTACAATTATAGACAAATTAGGTAATTCTAGTAACGCAAAATGGAATGAATTATCAATAGAAAAAAATAAATCAGATAAACAGGATAGCAATCTGTGTGATGAAGACATAGTGTCAGAAACATATAACTCTCAAAACACATATACCGATAAAAAAATGGAAAATGACAACCAAAATGATATAAGAAATGATAATAGTTCAATAAATTGGAATAACACTAGTTTAAATACTGAAAGTAACTCAGATTTTTCAAATGTAGAAGTGAAAATACTAAGTAATAAAGAAGATGCTGATGAAACCAAAATGACAGAAGAATATTCTGATAAAATGTCCAGTTGTAAAAGTAAAAATGGAAGCACTGAATATAAAAAAATGTTAAATAGCATGAAAGAGAATAAATTACAAGAAATAAATATAGATCATAATGTAGAAGGGAAAAGAAATGATAACTTCTTTTCGAAAACAAAAAATTCTGCAAGTCTTATAAAAAATGTTGAAGAAAACAATTTAGTTAGTATAAAAATAGGAGGAAATCAAGATAATAGACCATTAATGATGTATGGAATAAAAAGGGAAAGCACATATGACAAAAATGCAAAGAAGTTTAGTATTTTGAAAAATTATGTTCATAGCAATAGAAATACAAATGCGAATGTTTTTTTGTATTCATCCAGTAAATCCCTTGTACCACCTAAATTATCTAATGGGTGTATAAAAATTAAAAATGACAAAAAAAATATTATTAATACTTGCAAAAATGTGATGAAAACTTTTCATAACTTCTTCTGTGAAATATGGAAAAGAAATATGACAATAAAAAAGAGGTTTTGTACATCTAGTAGTAAAAATGGATTAAGTCCATTTAAAAGTACATTCACAGATAATAATTTAAATCAATCTAATGATAATGAGTTAATC